GCCCGCCCGGCCCCCCAGCCCTGAGGCCGCGCACCTTGTGGGAGCTCCTCCTCTGCCGGCTTGGGGATCTGCAGCAGGTTGTAGAGGGACTCTGTGTCCATTCTCCCCGCCGGCCCTGGGGACGCAGGGGACGCAGGGCGTCACGGTCTGCGCGGCCTCTGCTCGCTCCGTGTCACTTCTCTCAGGCCAGGAGGCACGGGGACAGGGCGGGGGCTGGCTCTGGGTGGACGAGCCACTGCGCTGTCCGGACAAGGGGTCGGGGTCCCTGAGGAGGCGCGCAGCCAACGCTCCCCGGACTCCAGGGCGAGGAGGGCGCGTGGCCGAGGGCACCAACGGAGCTCAGCCTCGGCAGGCAAAGGGGGGTCCTCAGCCGGGTGCAGAGTGGCCAGCCCGCCGTGTTCCTGCAGCACAGGAGGTCCCCACACATCCCCCCACCCCCCACTTACTCCAGGACAGGAAGTCCCCCACACATGCCCCCAACCCCGCTGCACCCCACAGTCAGGACAAAACTGGGACGGCCTCTCCTCCCTTGAGCTCAAGGGGACACCTGGGGGCCTGTGGGGGCCTCTGGGGGCTGATCGGGGTGAGCACACGGATGGATATTATCTCCAGAGCCTGAGCTTCTGCAGTGGAGGGGAGACACCCGCTTGTCCCCCTGGGCCCCTGAGCCTGGTCAGCTGGGCCCAGAGCAGCACCCCCAGCCTCTGAGTGAGTGACCGAAGCTGGTGTGCTATTGTCACCAGGACTGGTCCCACTTCGTGCAGGCTTGGCTCTCAGGGGTGGCCCGGCCCTGCCTGGTCCCCAGTCCTGAACAGGGCTCTCTGCAGTGGGGCTCCTTCTCAGGGGGGGTTGGGGTCTCACACTCCTCCAGCATGGAAAGGGCCGGCACCCACAGTGTGCACGGCCTCATCGTGGGGGGACCCAGCACGTCCCCAGCCTGGGGTGGGTGCATTCAGACCAGAGGGCTTCCTTCCTGTTCTCCTGGCCGACTTCCTCTCCTGCTCGGCTGGCAGCCACACCCCCTCCGTCTTTCTGCAGCCCCTGGCCCTCCTCTGAGTTGCCAACTGGACAGACATTTGGGCCCAGGAGTCAGGCAGGGCAAACAAGCTGGTGGTGGCCCCGCAGGGCCCAGAGCTGTGCTGAGACGGAGGCCTTCATGGGGCTGGGGCCACCCTGTCACACTAGCAGCCAGTCTGGGGACCCTGGGAGACCATCCTGCCCTGATGTAGGGAGCAGGGAGAACACAGCCCCTAGGCCAGGCCTGTCCCCTGAGTCCCAAGCCTCCTCTTGGACACCAGGATTTGGCTCAAGGCCTGTGTCTAGAGAAGAGGAAAGAGCCGGCCTGGGTATCAGGAAGCTTAGGTTCCAGGCCAGCTCTTCCTCACTCGTGCTGTGTGACCTCAGGCAAACACCCTGCCTCTCTGGTTCTGACACTTCTTCACAAGGAGGGGCCTGACTGCCTGCTGGCCAGAGGCAGCTGAGTGGACAGAGCCCAGAGCTGCCTCAAGCCATCAGCAGCCCGGGCAGTTCCTTCTCGGCCACAGGCCTGTTTCTCCCTCTGGAGACTGGGGGTAGCTTTTCTGCGTTGGATGAGGCTCAGGGGAGTGGGAACCTGCTGGGGGGCCGCCTCTCCGCATGGGGAGAGGGCAGGGGCGCAGGGGCCACTCGGCCTGGCTCCCCCCACTCAGACCGTGCTCTCTGGGCTCAGTTTTCACTGCGCCTCGGAGCCGTCCCCGTGTGAGCTCGGGCCCCCAAGACTCTCGGACAGACAGGCAGCCCCAGCGGCCAAGGCCTCCCTCAGGCTGAGGTGCCAGGAGGACTCACCTGGCTGCTCCTCCACGCAAGGAAATGAAGGTCACGGAGCTTAAATGGTGGCCCCGGGTTGCAAACAGAAGCGGGTTCCGGGTTCCCTAGGTCGGCAGGGGGCTGCAGGGCCCCAGGAGGCGGAGGCCAGCTGCTCACTTCCTCCGGGCTGGGCCGCGGCTGCTGCAGGGCCCGCCGGGCTGGGCTGCAGGCTGCTTCCTCCCGCCGGGCGGCAGGCCTGGCGCTTCGAAGGAGATGCCACCACGGGCCCACCGGAAAGCTCTGCCTGTGGCCCGCAACCCAGCCACGCCTCCTGGCCCCCGACACCTTGCAGGCAACTCGAATTTAATATTTCTACTTCCTCTCCTCTCCCCTCCCCACTGCACAAACCAAGCCAGTTCCTCCCCAGATTTCTCGCTTCCCAGTGGCAGAGCCAGCCACCCAACCACTGAGGCCACAGGGGGAAGTCAGCTTCCCCCGAGGCCCCCACGTCCTCACCAGCCAGTCCCCCCTTCCTCCCACCTGGATCACACAGAAGCCTCTCCCGAGAAGACCAAGGACACTGGGGACACACGGGAAAGCAGTAGCGGGGCTCTGTAGCCCAGGAAGGACGCTGGGAAATGCCGTTGAAATGGGCTCCTCGATTTCAGTGGAATTGAGGTCATTGCAAAATAGCAGAGGCCACGGGGCAGCCCTCACGCCTCTGCAGCAAGGTGGGTACATAGGTCAGTGTTTGCTGCGTAACAAACCATCTCAAAACACAGCTTAAAACAGCCACCGTTTTACTCAGTGCGTGAGCCTGTGAGTCGGCTGGGAGCCCTGGGACGGCGAGGTCACCTCTGCTGGGCTCCTCTGTGGCCAGTGGGTAAGGCTGGCGGCCAGAACGGCCTCACCTAGTGCGTCTGGCTGTGACCGTGTGGCCTCCGTCTTCCTGCGGACTGACTCAGGCCGGTTCCACAGCAAGCCCAGCACCGGAAGGGAGGGTAAGCCTCAGTGCTGTGTCACAGCATGGGACCCACAGAAAACAACAGGACGTGTGTGCCCCTGGAGAAAGCTGCCGTGGCCTGAGATGACCAGCCGGAGAGCTCTGACCGTCCCGAGGGCCAAGGTGGTGGTGCCTACGACCCACAACGGCACACACGTGGCAGCTAGGACTTGGTGGGCCCAGAACTCTTTTTGTATCCTCCCCAGAAGGTACGTTTTTATTGATTTTAGAGAGGAAGGGAGAGGGAAAGAGAGAGGCAGACATTGATGTGAGAGAGAAACTTCGGTCCGTTGCCTCCTGCACACCCCCGACCAGGGATCGAGCCCGTGACTTCGGGTGCGGGGGACGACTCTCGGACCCACCGCGCGCACTGGCCGGCTGGACCCCTACCCTTGCTCCCTGGGCTCCATGAGCGCGACGTCATCCGCGCAGTGGGCTGGCACGGTGTCCCATGGGCGGCACTGTCCCAGACCCCTGCAGGGACACGTGCATGCAAATTCAGGGGCTCGATACCTCGTTCCTGGGGAACTGCGTGTCCGTGAACACGGGGATAACTCTCCGAAATGAAATGCAAGTCGCTGCGCCTCTAGTATCCTACCGGTAAGACAGGCGTGGTGCTTGGGGGCACTCTAGCCGCGGGTCTTGGCTCAGCTCCCTCTGCC